GATTACACGGAAGAAGCTAAACAACAAACCCCAGTGGCTGACTCAAGCGCTGAAGAATAAGGTAAATAAAAAGTGGAGGTTGTGGAGAAAATCTATAGCAGATAGAAATTCGGTATCTCTAAATGCATACAAAACGCAGAAGAGCCTCGTGAAGCGACTTATCTTCAAGACGCGCCAAGACTTTGAGAAAGATTTACTAAACCGGGCAGTTACAAATCTGAAGTTATTTTATGGCTACTTATGAAAGACCACACGAAACCGGGACCCAGTTTCCCTTCTGAAGGCAAGCGATGGAACAGAAATGAGTGAGGATGGAACAAAAGCTGAGCATCTCTTACAATTTTTGAAATCGAACTTTACGACTGAAATCGGATCCATCCCTCCCAAATACGGCTTAGACGACGATCCAAATATTGGAAATGTCTTCTTCGCCGAAGCAACTATTCGTCAGGAGTTTTTGGTACTAAATGACTCGAAGTCATCTGGTCCCGATGATATCCCGCCTAAATTACTGAAAGAAGTTGCCGAGGAGCTAGCCAAACCGCTTTCCATGCTTTTAAGTACCTCGTTTGAAGCAGGTTGTTTACCCGCCGATTGGAAATCCGCACGGATCACACGGCGGCAGAAAGGTTTCCGCAAACAATTATAGACCGATCAGCCTTACTTCGATCTGTTGCTAGAGTATGGAAAAAGTAGTAAAGCGAGAGCTGATGTGTTTCTTAAAGCAGCATAACCTTCTATCGGATGCGCGGCATGGATTCCGCAGAGACAGGTCCTGTGTGACGAACTGGCTCTATTGTTTGGAACGCTGGACTCGGGCAGTTGATGAAGGAAATCCGCTTCATGTAGTCTACATCGACTTTAAGAAGGCATTTGATAGCGTTCCACATCAACGACTTCTGCACATACTCAGCCAAATAGGTGTTCGAGGAAATCTGCTAAAGTGGATTCAAAGCTTCTTACTTGGCCGCTCCCAAACAGTCCATATCGGCGACCAGCAGTCGGTAGACGTTGCGGTCGAGAGCGGCGTTCCCCAAGGCTCTGTCCTTGACCCTATACTGTTCATTATATACATCAATGACTCCGTCCGTGAACTGGACTGTGATGTGGCTATGTTTGCCGATGACATTAAAATTTGGAACGTCATCAGAAATTTAGCTGACGAAGAGCGTTTGCATGTGAACCTAA